ACATATAGAACATTTGGGGAAAAAAAAAAAAAGAAATAGGACTGTCAGAAAAAACCCAAAACCCACAGGGATGAAGAGTGGTGGCAACTTCAGAACTAGTACCATGAAGTATGTTTCCTCTGCACTTGATTTTTTGCTCATGCAGCTTAATAGATGGTTGTAGGAGTGTAGGTTTATCTTCGTGCCTTTGCAGAGGCAAGTGCAACTTTGTCTGTAGCAGTAGCAATGTTTCTTTTCTCTGTCTTTTCCTTTCCCACACTTTGGAACTGGGGCAGGAAATGCAAGTTCTGGCAAAGTGACTAGATTAATTCCAGTTCCAGACTGTCTGTAAGCCCTTTATTGCTTGTGTTTCCTCACCTTGTTTCCGCTTCTACATTAAGACAACCCTCCATGCAATCTGGCCATGGTTGGTAAGCATGCCTTCCTACCTTCCTGCCATCTGGAGCAGCTCTTCTCTCTTTCTCTTGTTTAATTGCTATATAAACTCAGACTTTAGCTGGACACATTTCTTGACTACATAACATGCAGATCTATGTTAGTGAGTGGCCATATATATGAACCAATGCTGTTTCCTGCAAAATAGGGCTCTCTTGCATTGTATCCCATTAAGCCTTTCCATAAAGATGTCCTGCTCCCTTGATTTGATGAAGTGTTAAGTGGAGATAAGACCAGGGAATCACTGTTGAGGAGGCAGTGTCTAAGAAAGTCACAAAAGCTTTCAACTTTGTTCTTTATTGATTTATAAAGGAAGAGCAAGCTTAACCCTCTCTCTTTTGATAACCTGATAGTGCAGATATTCTCAAGAGGTTGCACTGCTGTATCTTTTGCTCTGACAGCTGCTCTTGAAGGCTTTGACAAAACCCACAGGTTCTCCTCATCAGCCTGTATGACACAGATTGTGTGCTCCCTTTCACAGTTTCTCCCTTTGCAGTTTTTAACATAGCCATGTAAAAAGACAGTGCACCTTGGCAAGTAGCTGTCTGAAGACCATGCAAGCAAGCATTGGGCAAATATCCCGGCCTTTTCAAGGCAGCCTCCATGTTGCTTAAGAAAGAGAAAGAAGGATTTGGGAATCCAGAGGAGTGTGGTAACAGATCTGTTTCTGCCTTTGTAAAGACCAGTAGCAGAGGGAGAAGAGGTAATGTAGGGACATCTTTACTGTAAGGGTTTTTCTAGTTTCCCAGTCCGTTCCCCGGCCTCTGAACAGAGCACATCAGAATGGGACCATCACTGGCAAGTTCTGCTTGAGTTCATGAAGGTGCTGTTATTGAAGTTATATCCAATTTCCAATGACCTGGAAAAAAAAGGTTTAGTAATATTAGTTGCCCTTTTTGAAGCTGCAGTGCCCAGTGTGGGATTTTTTCCCTGCTCAGGACACAGCAGCTGGAGTGTTGTTGATGTAGGTATTGCTTGTTTCTTTCTGAATATGCCTGCAGAAAGATGTTACATGCCACAAAAATGCTAACAGCTGTATTTGGCATTCCTTGTGAACATAAAAGCAGCAGAATTGTAATGTTCCTAGAAAGAGAGGAAGCAACTGTACTAGAATCTGTTATTCTGAAATTATCTATGAAAAATTCTCCTGTTCCCATCCAAATTCTTTAACAAAAATACAGAAATTATTTGTGTAGGTTTTTTTGAAGATATATGTGTGAATTCAGCATAATATATGGTTTGTATATCAGTGTAATTTAAAATCAATAATAGAAAGAGGAACACTTAAGAATGATATGGTGCCTCTTAGCTCCATGAGAAGAAACATGCCTTTCCCTTGGGTGCCTGGTCCCACAGCAGGACTTTTGCCATCCCAGCAGTGATGGCAGAAGGAAGCTGCTGACCCCGGGGTAAGGACGATGAGGATGAAACCGTGTGTAGGTGAGATCTGCCCTCTCGTGGGAAGAGAAAATGTCTTCCCTCGCTGTGTGCGGTGTCTGCCAGGCTGAGCTGCCTTAGTCCTAAGGAGGTGATATGGTAGTTCACATTGATTTTGGAACCTGGACAAATATTCAGTCACAAAATTCCCTCTGTTCCCTTTGAAAGGTGAGAAGTGGAAAACTTTTTTTTTTTTCTGAAAATATCTAATTACATCTGTGTTCAACACAGGGAATTTCCATATGTTTTCTTTCAAGTTTTCTGATTTTGGTGGTATGTATGTTGGCTAAAGATGTTGCTACATAAGGGTACTTCCCTTATCGTAAGCTAGATAATATTCATCATAGACTAATAAGAAACCCTGTAACATGTAGCATAATTCTGTATGGCCTGGCTAACAGCTTTGGAGAAAGTGGTTCTGAAATGTTTCTTATTAAGCTACTGGTCCAACTAACTATTTACTATGAAAAAAACAATTTTGTGCAGAGTCAAATGGGTAATATTGCATATACATGTTGTGTAGTACTAACATGTTGTATCTTCATGGAGTTTTATTTTGAATCATCCATAATAGGGAGGGGGAGGGGGATGAAAATGGTGTCTGGAGGTGGCGTTTGTCGTATTTTGTATGGTTCTGTGAGAATTTTGAGGAAAATTTAGACCAGGAGTGTGACTATGGATTACCAGTTACTATGATGAGAATCTGTCCCTCTCTTTGGTTCTTTGTTCATGAAAGATACCCACATTTCATGTCCATGAGTTTTGCTACTAACTAGAGATTATCTGAAGAAGTAAAAATCACACTGCAGAATCTATGCTTTGTATTTTAGGCCTTTTCCCTGGCATCTTTATTCATGCCCATTGCATCTTTGTTCATTGTATTCTCATTCATCTATTGCTTTTATAGCTATATGTAATGAGTAAATCAAGATTTTAAAAGTGTATAAACGCTGTTCCAGTGCATGGTATTATAGGTTACAAGTACATATTCATGGTATTGTATCACACTAACAGGAGGCTGAGGGGAATATCAGCTGTGATGAGTCAGGAAGGTTAAACGTTCAACTGATTTGACCAAAATTAATCTGTGGTAGGAGTGGGAAAAGTGTCCTTGTGTACCGTTAACATACCATGACATATCTTCTCTGTATGACTGTTCTTTGTGAAAGTGTTTTTAATATGAAAGCATATATGAAACTGTGTTTTTTAATGTGTAATATAGACCTTCATCAGAATGAAATTTCAAGAACGTTGAGCAAAGTTGACAAACAGAGGTCACTCTTTGTTTAAAACAAATAAAAATTTTCCCAGTCTACAATGTTTTCAGTACTAGGCAATCTTTTTAGCAGGGCCTGTTGCAATAGGGTAATAGTTTTAAACTAAAAGAGGGTAGATTCAGACTGGATATAAGGAAGAAATTCTTTATGTTGAGGGTAGTAAAACACTGGCACAGGCTGCCCAGAGAGCTGGTAGAAGCCCCATCCCTGGAAACATTCAAGGTCTGGTTGGACAGGGCTCTGAGCAACCTGATCCAGCTAAAGATGTCCCTGCTGACTGCAGGGCGGGTTGGACTAGACCACCTTTAAGCGTCCCTTCCAACCCAAACTATTCTATGATACTATGACTTGCAGTTATTAGCAGCACTTAGTTAAGGGTTGAAGAGATGTAGGAAGTGTAAAGGTCTGGTCACTCAATTATTTGCTGTAATTTCCAGGAAGGGGATAAACATGAAAGATGCATTCTTTAGGACAAATATTTGTACTATTTATATTTGTACTTTCAAAAAGACAGGAACATATCCTGTTTAATCTGTTATAAATTCTGAACCTTCCCCTAAAGGTGATTTGGCTGATTATATGAAGTACTCCCTGTGCCCACAAAGAGCAGGGAAAACTATTTAGAAAGACTCAAACAAATTGCCAGGCACTTTTTTCACTGGTCAAACACACTAGCAATTTTACAATTGTTCTGTGCTAATGCTTGTCTGTCAGGAAGAAAGCAGTGTTTATGTTGCATTTAAATGCATTATTTGTATTTACTAAGCATTATGACCAATCTATTTTCTTTTTTTCTTGTTGTATTAATTGCCTATAAATTTAGACATTGCTTCTGGAGTTGGAAAGCCCTACCCTAGGAAAGAAAAATAAAAAAAAAAAAAAGGAAGAAAAGACAAATGTAACAAGAAAGAGGAGAGGAAGCTTTTCATTAACAAAAATATAACCTGGGTCTATTGAGGAGGACATAAGCAAGCTTCTTGATATCAAATATAATATTCTTCAAAATGACCAGGCTTATGATTCTTTGTATTTAATACCAAGTAACCAATATTATCAGGCAAACATATTTTTGCATTACAGCTAGTTTATTTCTTCTGTTACACTACACTAATTAATGCTGTTACTTAATATGAGTAGGTACTACGTTGACCTGATGCACTAAGTCTAGAAAGTCATTTCAACTACTGTTAAGACTAATGATAATATGGCACAATAAATATTGAGAAAAGTGCTATTACAAGTGGATTAACTCCTTATTTCTTACCTCATGATACAAATGACTCAGTGGCCATTAACAGGTCTCGTAGCTTTTCTGTGCTCCTACTTTCTATGTCTGCATAATCAGGCCATAATACCAGCCTACGGCTTGGCAATACCGTAAAAAATCAAGTATCTTAATGCTTCTACAGTGTTCTGATACCATACAGCATTAAAGTTAGAATATTTTATCGTTCTAACTATCCAGTTATCACCACTTTGATGAAGAGTGGCTTTGATGCAAGGATCCAGAAAGCTAGGAGGTGTGTGGATACTAGTTTAGTCCTTTCTACAATCAGAGTGCAGGTATTCACATTGTTCCTAGTGGCCTTGGTCACCAGCCTCTGTGCTTATGGCCTTGCTGTGGTTTATCACAGGGGCTGGGGCTTCTCTCAGAACACTGTGCTTCCACGATGTTTATTGTAGTTTTCGCCTGGGGAGCAGATGTTCTTAAAATCAGTGTCTTAACATGTATCTATTTGAACAGTATATTTCAATTAGCAAGCTTCTGCCCACAGTCTATAGTTCCCTAATTGTTGCTTTTTACTGGGAAGTGTTTCATATCTTGTTTCATTTCCTCTGCATGTGATTTAGGGTACCACGGCCTTTACTGTGAAGAGGAATATAATGAATGCCTTTCTGCACCCTGCCAGAATGGAGCCACCTGCAGAGACCTTGTCAACAGCTATGAGTGTGCATGCCTTGCTGAATATGAAGGTAAGGTGGGGTGTGCCTCTTGTTTTTTGAATTGTTCTATGGATTTTTTATGGTAGGGTCTGTTACAGACAGAGATATACAATATCCTCCACTGAGCAGAAATAAATCCCACATCTAAAATTAATGGAAACAAACTTCAATGTAAATCTTGATCTCATAATCTTTATTCAAAAGAGTACTTCAGATTTAGCTGGTTGGTGAGGAATGCATGTCCTTGTCTGGGGACAAATGACTTCTCTCTGTTCTTCTTAGGTGTACTTTTTTTTCTGCTATTTTTAAGATACATTAGAAAGTGTTGAGTTTTTAAAAGAAAGCATAACTGTTAAATAAAATTTTTCATCAGTTGTTGTTAGGAGCCATTACATGGAGGGCTTTCCAAATTATTTTTTAATCTCTTTTCTGCAGGGAAGTGAGTTAAAAACATAGTAATAAAAGATTAGTATTTGAAACAAATTAGCACAAAGGAGTAAAAATGGAAGGTTTATGTTGATGGTTCATTTAGAAGACCGTAAAGCCCAGAGACAGTAGTAGGTCTGTGACTGCTTTCCCATGTTAACTGCAGCTATTCTCCTAGATATGTTTAAATGGAATCAGTCTTAGGCATTTCTTAAGTAATTTATAAAATAGAGGAGAAAAGTATGTGTTTTGCTATACAAAATCTTTTTATCTTGCAGCGGATTTCAGCTTTACAGAGTAGCGCATATCAGCTATCTGTGACATGTGAAGGGCTGAAATGATACTTTTTTTTGTATTCCATTTGAATCACGCTGTGTTTTGAATGTAACTTTATATGTTATTAGGATTAAAAATATATATATATATTTTACATAGAATGACTGTGTTTTAAGGAACATTACCCCAGCATTTTCTCATTAAGTGTATCAATCCTTAGATCTGTGTTGATAAGTAATGCTCACTTAACAGCTGCTTGAGGCTAAGTACATATTTCATGCTGATGATTGCACTGCTCTTTGACAATAGATACAGAATTCATCAATTCAGAGGCTTAATGAGGAAATGACCCTCAGCTTTTCATGACAATTTTAAGAGCACTTAACCATACTGTTATGACTTCATGTTCTGTTCTCTGACCTGTACTTGCATCTAAAAGCACTGTGCGCGCAGGAGGCTGGGAAGGACGCAGGATCAGCTGCGTGTCCAGTTTCACATGTATTTGTCTAACCTCTTCTAGTCCTCCATCACTGTAGGTTCTGTAATCTCCACAAGTGACGTAATTCCTTCATTGTCATTCACTACCTCATGATTACAAACATTTTCCTGATGCCAAAGCTGTATTGCAGTTTTTATACATAATAAACAATGTAAATTTATGCTTCTATTGACTGTGCATCTTTACAGTTTGCAGGACAGTAAGGACTTGGAAACATGAACCACCTTAAAAAGTGAAAAATGTGTTCGTAATTTCTAAGTGTTATCACATGGAAGCATTCCGAATCTCATCCTGTTCTTCAGTTTGTTGAAATTCTTGTAAAAAGTAGAAGAATGGGAAAATTTGAAGATAACTTAGGATTTTAGCCAAGTGGTCACTTTGGATTCATTCCCGAGCAAAGAATGTCAGTGAGATGCATCAGAGTGCTTATGTATATTATTAAAGAAGTTATTACATAAAATTCTTACTGAAGACAATAATTGTTTACATCTTATTGAAGAATATTAGATAGCTGATTAGATTATGCTTTATTATGCCATTGATTTTTCACAGACACTCCAGCAGTTCTTGTTAGCAGAAGTTGCCCTACCTCTCGTATCCCAAAACCTCAGTGGGTAGGAAGAGTAAAGAGGAGGCATGTGTGTAAAAAGTTTAGCCACAATAAAATAATGCTTTAGTCTTATGGCATTAGCCTAATAGGACAGGTTTAGAGGCTGCACATTATTGTGCTCATCCAGGTGAAGTTAAGTTATTACACATACTGATATCATGCTGTTAGTATAGGTTATGTTAATGACAGTTACTAATTTTACCTTTTCAGGAAGGCACTGTGAATTATACAAAGATCCTTGCATTAACATCAACTGTCAGAATGGTGGCACTTGTGACAGTGAAGGTCTAAATGCTACATGTATTTGTGCACCTGGATATACAGGCAAGTAATCTGTACATTACATGGAACATCTAGCTGTCAGTGTTCACTGTGTCCAAAAGAAGACAAATACCACGTAAGATGGTGTCTCTTCAAGGAAACAAGTTAATTTGGACTTTGCTGAATTGTGATCAAACTAGTGAGAATGAAAAATTCTTGATATTACTTACAATTGCTTTGAACTTTAAAAATTTTGCAGCAAATAAGCCTGTTACTAAAGAGAACTCTCTAAGCTAACAGCTATTTAACATGTGTTATGACCTTACTGCTTGAGAGTAGATTGCATTTTCAAAATATCATTTTGAAGACTTCCAGGTAAGCCAATACACTAATTGGACACTGTTGAAATTGGAAAATGTTTTAACATTGACCTTAGTTACAGCGAGCTGAAGAAACAACTTACTCCATTACCTTAATATGCAATTGCTAAAAGCCGTAAAGTGCTTATTATGAATCAATTTACACTTTCAGAGTAGTGGTAAGCAGCCCATTTAATCCTTTGGCCCTGTATTTAAACTGACACGATTGGTGTAACCCAAATATCTGCTATCAAGATAATTTACAACCTGATGCTCTGCTAGTCATGTAAGGTAATATCCAATGTGATAGTACTAGAAAAACACCTTCATAGCTGTTTTGTAGATCAAATCATGCTTTTTGATCTATGCTAATTAAGGGGATTATTTTTTTTTAAAGAATTAGCTTTCTGTTTCTCAGAGGGCTGTTTCTCAGAGGCACTGATTGACTACATTATTGTATAGCACTTCAGAATATACTTGATAAACTTACACCACATTTTCTTGGGATTAAATTTATATTTAAAGAAATGAGACTCACATAATCTGGGTGAGATTAGTCAAGTCATTTAGCCCTCAGACTTTCTTTTCACCTGGTTGAATGAGGATAATATTTCCTTCTTGGAGGCTATGTGAGACTTATTTCTTGAAACAGTTATAGAGTACTTCTGATGTTCTGAAAAAAAGATGCTGTTGAGCTATGAGGTGCTTTGCAGCTAGGGTAAAATTAAATGACTGATGTACCTGCTACATGAGGCACCCGCTATATAGAAGTTTATTTTTTCTTGGGTTTTTTTCTGATATAAGGTGAAGAATGTGAAATTGATATAAATGACTGTGACAGCAACCCATGTCACCATGCTGGAACTTGCATAGATCAGCCTGGTGGTTACACCTGCCATTGTCCACATGGATGGGTCGGTGCAAACTGCGAAATACGTAAGTTTTGTAGTTTTCAAAAAAATTTCTAAAAATGATCCATTATAATACATTTATATTTGTCTCTAAATACCTATCTGCAGAAATACTCTTAATCACCTGTAAATTATCAAAATTCTGTTAAATGCATTTTATTTTAGGTCGTAACATTTCTAAAGTGGCTATGAAAGTTAGAAAATTCTGTTTCTGGGCACCCTACTTTGAGATGTGTTGGACTAGGTTGTCAGAGATGCTACCTCACAGCTGGGCACTAAGCACTTTGCCTTTGAATTGCACTTATGCTTCAAAGATTGCTTACATATTTATCTCAGGTAAAGTGTGGTTCCATAGTCCTAGAATCATGGTCCTAACAGACTTATATTGACTTCTGAGCACCTGCAGTTCTAGTGATGTTTCAGGAAAACGATTTTCAAGTGACTTACATAACGAAACAAATCCTGTGTAATTGTGCTGTGACTTGTGTGTGCATGCGTTTACCAGCTTTTTCAGGAATAACTTTTCCAACCATAGATTGATTTCCACTAAACTGGTTAGAAGGGTAAAGGTCTCCAAATCAAAATATTTCCTAATCATTTAGCAAGGCTTAGAGAGGTTTGTTGGTGGGTCTAGTGAAGGAACAGCTTCAGTGTGGTCTCGCTTCTTAGTGTAAAGAAAAGCTTCAATGTAAGTCCACCCTTATGGAGCAGCAGAGAGTCCACGAGAGGAAGACAGTATGAAACCCAACAGTGGAAGGGTTAAAGTAGAAATAAGGCTTCATTAGTTCTGCTGCTCATGGAGCTGCTTTGTATTTCCCTGATGTCTTGTTCTTGTGCTACAAAGAGAGTCCTTACTAGAGAGTTTAACTGTGTTATTTAACTGTTTGAATGCTCAGGAGCTGTGGTCATAGATTGCTTGAAGTCATTATACAGATATACAAGCTTGTGTTGAGGGAATTTACACCACTTAGCACAGATAATATTGCAGGGGTAGGTTAAAAAATAAACAGAAGGGACTCGGAAAACTCCTATTCATGAGATAATGCCTACACAAAGGCTGGAATAAAAATATTTTCTGTATCTCATTTACACAAGGAGCATATGAAGTTTATCTTTATTACTCTCTTTTCCTTAAATATATCAACTGCTTTTTGATTTCTATTGACATTGGTCCTTACTTTAACCCAGAAGACAACTCTATTCACACCTAGACTGACATAAAAGTTTAATCTTGACAGGTTTATGACGACCTCTCCCTGTAATTGTTGGCTGTGAATCCAGTTTCCATGCTTTCTGTTGAAAGCAAAAACTGCAGAAGAGCATTGCTAGCTAGTCCAGAGATGGTGACAACACTGCCTTTTTGTTGTCTCTGTGAATGGCACACACACTTCCTTGTGTGGTACAGAACCGTCATGATGTTGGGAGCACAATGTTGTATGCTATCTGTATGACATATTGCTCATGCCAAAAGATGATCAGATGAGCTTTTACTGGCAAGGTGGTTGTTAGTGATACCTGAAACATGCATGTCCATGTTGATGGGCAAGGTAGTGTAATTCTGCCTGCCTTAGCTAATAAGTAGTGGGCTGACAGACAGATGAGTTTAGTTCTTGGAGAAAGCAATCATCGTCCTGGAAATTTACTTCCTGGAATACCTCAATGTAGTAACAATTACATCTTTGTATGTTATGGGATGGATAGATGCCAAAGGGAAACAGATGGGCTTGCATGCTTTCTGAGCCCATAGATGTGCTACATGGAATCATTGATACTTGTTCTGGAGCCCTCCTTTGTCTGTCATGCTCTAGGCACTATGAGTTCAGCTCTTTGCACCACAAATACATAGTGCGGTGTATATAAACATATGGGAGAATGACAGAAACAGAACAGAGTGTGGAAGGAGCCTTTTCTGCTGTCCAGCTACTCAATTATTCCTGCTTCTCCCTGTGAGGGACGCATGCCTGTAAGCGCTATATATGACAAGTAGGCTTAAGGTTATGTCAGTTGTTGGTCAATATTAACTCCTTTGTGAACTCATCTGTAAGTGTACAGAAAAAACTTTGCTCAAATTTTGTTCTCTTGAGCGAGGGCATTGTCTGTGCTTAGTGTGTATTTCTCTACATGTATCATCTGTTTATAGCTGAACTGCAGTGGCCTTGCCTGCTGCTCAAGAACTTGGATTTTCTAGTTGTATTACACACTTGCAAACTGTGTAAGTTAAAGTGATGGGAAGAAGCAACAGCACTTTTTTGTTGCTGTTTTAAGCCTTTTACCGACTGATTTGTTCTTTTATCTTGTGACTGCTATGACAGGAGGCAGAGAATTTTCTGGGTGTTAACTGGCATTGATAACACTGCAAGGCTGATTCTCAACCAGAAATACTAGACCTTTTCTTTCCATCTCAATATTTGGAGAATAAATCGTATAGTAATTTTCATCATAATTGTTCTCAATTGAAGAGGTTGAAATTACTGTGGTTTTTTATCCAACAAATCAGGATAGCTAATAGAGTGTATGTATGTAATAATGATAATATAGGAGATATAAAAAAAAAGGTTTGGATTGGTCTTAAAGAATGAAAAAAGTAAAAAAAATGTTTTTGCAGAGTCAAATAAAGACACATTTGTCCTAGGTTACAGTGTAAAATGTGCCCC